CCTATCCTCAAAGCCAGGAGTGTAGCCTATTGCCTTAGTCTTCACATTGCCTTTTCCTTCTGTGTCAAATCTTCCTTGATCTCCCTCATATAAGGGCACTTTTGATTGCAAAATTAAGGCCCATCCAAGTAACCTCCCCATCTCAGTATCCTTAGCTTAACAACATCAGTAATTCTCTTTTGCCAGGTGTGCTAACATTCGAAGGTTACAGAGATTAGGACTTGGACATCTTTGATAGCCATTATTCAGCCTACCACAGCCAGGAACCCATAAATCTCCTAGTCTTTGCCAAAAGACTGTGTGTGTGTGTGTGTGTGTGTGTGTGTGTGTGTCTTCTTGTGCTCACGATTATGTTTGTGAGATTCATCACTTTCTTTGCTATAAAAATACAGTTGATCCTTGAACAACACAGGTTTGAACTCCATGAGTCCACTTACATGTAGATTTTTTTCATGAGTCCACTTACATGTAGATTTTTTTCAACAAATACATTCTACAGTACTACACGATCCAGGGTTGGTTGAATCCATGGATGCTGAACTGCGGATACCAAGGGCTGACTATAAAGTTATATGCACATTTTTGACTGTGCAGAAGTTCAGCATCCCTAATCCCCATGTTGTTAAGGTTAAACTGTATTCTACTGAGTATTAACCCATTCTACTGTTTGTTAACTTTTGGGTTGTTTCCAATCTGAACTTGTTATGAATAATACTACTACAAAATTCTTGAACACATCTCTTGGTGTTTATGTGCATATGTTTCTGTTGGGTATGTATCAAAGAGTAGAACTGCTGGGTTATAGGGTATGTATACATTCAATTTTGGTAGATAATGTCAAATAGTGGGAGGGAGGGAGACAAAGAGGGAAGAGATATGGGAACATATGTATATGTATAACTGATTCACTCTGTTATAAAGCAGAAACTAACACACCATTGTAAAGCAATTATACCCCAATAAAGATGTTAAATAAATAAATAAATAAATAAAATAAAATGGCAACGCCTGTCTTACATACCTCACTAAATACTGTAAGGACAAAAATAAACAAAAATGACCAGCACACATGAAATTGTGCTGGATTATACAAATGCAATGATGGATTATACAAATGCAATATGGATTATACAAATGCAATATGTTACATTTTTTATTATATCTAATATAAAAACAAGTAAAGGCATGTATGTAAATAACTAATATAAAAGAGAATCTGGTAAATGCTATAAAGATTCACTACGAAAGTTGAGATTAATTTTGACAATAGGAAAATGGCATTCTAGGCAGAGTTACAAGTGTGATAAATGGCAAAAGACAGGAAAGGACACAGGGTGTTTGGGGGAACATGCTGTTTGAAATGCAGAGTATGTGAGAGCAATCATCATGAGAAAGAAGGCTAAAATGTGAATTTTGGATTCACATTATAAAATCCCTAAGACACCCTAAAATGCAATGCTAGCATGTGTAGAGATTCATCCTGCAGAGAACAGCAGATCACTGAGTTTTGAAGCAGTGGTGATAATGTGATCAGTTGTTTAAGATGTATTAATTTAGTAGGCTTGTAGAGAGTCAAGACTGACTGGAAATAGAAGAGACTGGAGTCCAAACAGTTTGAGCAATTCTCAAACTTCTTAGTCCCAGGACTCCCTTACATTTAAAAAAATTATTGAGGCTCTCCTCCAAAGAATTTTTGTTCTTATGTGGGTTATACTAACTGATATTTTGCATATGAGAAATTAAACCTAATATAATTATAAACTATATTAATTCACTCAAAATGAAAAAAAGAGAAAATAACTACCAAGATGGTAGATGAAAACATATGCCATATTGGTAATTACATTAAGTATGAATAACTTAAACAATGCAATTAGAAGCAAAGATTATCAGATCAAACAGTAAAACAAGTCCCTATTATATGTTCTCTGTAAGAAATCAACTTTAAAGACAGAGATAAGTTACAAATAGGAGGAAGGAAAAAGATATACCATACAAACACTAATCAAAAGAAAGCTAGAGTGGCTATACTAATCAGACAAATCAGACAAACTTCTGAACAAAGAATATTAACAATGATAAAGAAGTCAATGAATCAAAAGGATATGATAAGCATGGCAGTCAATGAAACAGAAAACAGAAAACCACAGAGAAAAATCAAAGAAACCATAGAAGTTTCTTTGAAAAAATTAATAAAATTGACATAATTTACTGATTATCAGAAATGAAAGAGACATTACTCAGATCACACAGCCATTAAAAGAATAAGGGAATTATTAAAAACAAGCTTATATCAATAAATTCAACAACTTCAATGAAACGAATGGACAGATTACTTGAAAGACACCAACTACCAAAGTGTACTGAAAGAAATATATATATATAACCTGAACAGTTTGGCATCTATGAAAGATGAATTTATATTTAAAAACTTTACTGCAAAAAAAATTCTAGGCCCAGATGGGTTCCTCAGTGAATTCGCCCTACTTAAGGAAGAAATAATATCAATTCTACACAAACTCGCCTAGAAAAAAGAAGAGAAGGAAATATTTCACAACGCATTTTACAAGGTCATTACCCTGATTCCAAAACCAGTCAAGGATATTACACAAAAACTAGACCAATATCCTTCATGAACTCAGATGCAAAAATCCCTAATAAAATATCAGTAAATCAAACCCAACAATATATCAAAATATTAGCAAATCAAATCCACTAATACATCATGACCAAGTGGAGTTTATCCCAGGAATGTCAAGTTTAACATCTGAGTAATCAAGCAATATAATTCACCATATTAAGTCAACTTAAAGAACAAAACAAAAACACACCAAATGATGATGTCCATAAATGCAGGAAAAGCATATGACAAAACTCAACACCTACTCAATGATACAGAGTTTCAGCAAACTAGGAACAAAAAACTTCCTCAACCTGATAAAGGGCATCTACATGTATCTACAACAATATCTTTCTAGATATGTCTCCTCAGGCAAGGGAAAGAAAAGCAAAAATAAACAAATGGGATTACATCAAAATAAAAAGCTTCTGCACAGCAAAGGAAACAATAAATAAAACAAAAAAGACAACCTACCGAATGGGAGAAGATATTTGCAAATGATATATCCAATAAGGGGTTAATATCCAAAAATATATAAAGAACTCATACAACTCCCCAAACAAAAGACAAACAACCTGATTAAAAACTGGGCAGAGTAGGTGAACAGACTTTTTCCCAAAGACATACAGAGGGCACGTGAAAAGATGTTCAACATCACTAATTACTTGGAAATGCAAATCAAAACCATAATGAGATATCACTTCACACCTGTCAGAATGTCTATTATCAAAAAGATAAGAAGTAAGTATTGGTGAGGACGTGGAGAAAAGGGAACCCTCAGTTGGTGGAAATGTAAATTGGTGCAGCCACTATGGAAGACAGTATGAAGATTCCTAAAAAAATTAAGAATAGAACTACCAAATGATCCAGTTATCCCACTTCTGGGTATTTATCCAAAGAATACAAAAACACTAATCTGAAAAGATACCTGCATCTCCCATGTTCATCATCGCATTAATTACAATAGCCAAGATACAGAATCAACTTAAGTGCCCATCAACAGAGGAATGGATAAAGAAGATGTGGTGTGTGTGTGTGTGTGTGTGTATATATATATATATATAATATTACAATGGAATATTATTCATCCATAAAAATATCCTGCCATTTGCAACAATGTGAATGGACCATAAGGGTATTATGCTAAGTGAAATAAGTCAGAGGAAGACAAATACCATGTGATTTTACTCATATGTGGAATATAAAAAAATAAACAAATTAAAAAAACAAAATAAACAAACCAAACCAAATAAAAATAAACAAGTAGATACAGAGAACAGATTAGTGGTTACCAGAGGGAAAGAGGCAGG